TCTAGCAGTTGAATATATCTTGGACACGACTAACAGATTTCCAGTTATCGCATATTGTATGAATTGGATATTATCCTCATTATACAGGGTGTCCCTGGACTTCCCCTTTTCCTCTAGGGAATATATAGATGGGGTCAAAATATCACCAGTACTTCATATAACTTTTTTTCCTAAAAGTCTTCGTAAACAAGTTACGGGCCCTCGAAGTTACAAAATGAAAAATGTTTTTCTAATGTTGAAGCTTCTTCGAAGTATTCAGTATTTCTAACCAAGAATCCATACATGACGGATGAACAAGATATCCTAACCTAAAATCCAGTTTTATGAACTCGTATGTACGTTGACAACTGTCTTCTCTGTGATTTTGTTGGATACAGTCGAAACAACGCTCTACTGGAATCCGCTCTGAACAAACTGACCAATTCAGAGAAAGTTCTTGTACGATATACATTATTTTTGGAGGTAGCTGTAGCTAGGTGGAGGTGGCTAGGTGGGGAAAAAATATGACATTTTTTCGAACCAACCACTAGAAACAATACACTTTTTTTGTATGAAGAAAACTGTTGGATTTTGTCATAGACAAGAGTGTTTTAATCTACAATAAACAGATTTTATACATTACTGCAGCTCATCAGCGAGTGCAGAATATATTCTTTGTAGGCTACAATAACAGATCACATCTCACTATTAATATGAAAACCCATTTATCTCTCTCGAAAAAATTTCAGAATATCACACTCGTTCTATTTATGAAAAATGTTTACCTAACGCACTAAATTGAGATACGAGGCATCTATTTTTAATCTAGTCTCATGGTTACAATTATGTCCGCGATATACATTCAGGAAGGACCGCTGTGAGTGGCGGACATGTTGGTTTGATTACGCCACCTGTTTAGGATTTGTTGTATTGATTTTATTAGGCTATTACTTTGCCTATGTTCACTCAAGTCTGAATTATTACTTAGTCTGCCACGGTAACTGCAGCAGATTGAATGATCTGTTGATTGTTCACAAAAAGATTTTGAGAACCATGTGTTTTAAAAAATATGGTGATTCTTCTGAGCAGTTATTCACTGAATTACTAATTTCAACTGTGATATCTATGTACATTTCAAATTGTCACTTACATTGATAATCATTACCGTAAGTTTCAGCAAAGAGATACTTCCTGCATAGCCGCTGGTTATGCTCTAAGACAAAATTATAATCTGATAGTTCCTGTATAGTCGAAGTAAACGATATTGTGCACATTTAAAGTTGGCGACATTCTCAAAGGCCAAAAAATCAATACATATTAATGAACCGGCAGCGAACTAGCCTACGTGGACTATAAACTTGGCTATAACTTGTAGTTATAATCACTTGAAATTTTTGTTATCTGGTCAAAATGTGGCGTCCTTGGACAAGCACTAATACTAATAACGGGTGTTATAACAACGCAGACTTTTTCCAGTGTTGTGATTGCAATAGCGATGGATGCATTTGAATATTGAAACACAAAGAGTATGTTTCAATGTATATATGAATCTAGATCTCGAATTTGGTTTCGAGGGAAACGAACTATTACAAGCAACATCAGATTCAACCGAAATTCCTACCTCAACTGTACGTAAAATAGTCAAAAACAAACCTTATTAACGCATGACGCGATGTGATATAGGATTACCAAACCTTCAAATTTTCATGTGATAAAATCTTTGAAAAAAACCATATACGATTGTTACAAAAGCAATGAGATTTCTACAAATGAAATCATAAGGAAGAAATTGAAAACTTCCTGCCATAACGTGAGCTGCTGTGACAAAACTTTTCGGAATTGGATAAAGAAACTAGGATTTAGATTTCAAATAATGAACAAACGTCAAGCAGTTATGGAAAGCAGAAGAATAGTGGAATTGCGTAACAAATACTTAGAACAAATATGTAAATGTGGACAAGAACAATGGCAAATTTTTTATTTGGACGAAACTTGGTATGACACTCACGACACAGTTACGAAAGGGTGGACTGATGGTTCGAGAATATGTACCCCTAACATGCCTGCAAAAAACAAAGGAGGAAGTGAAGAATGGGTTCAAAATTCTTTGAAATTATGTGGAAAAAACTTGAGGACTGCAATATTGACTATCATAAGAACATGGAAGCTAATTTTTTCGAGGAATAATTTGAAAACACATTTGGATGCGGATAGGGTAATGGTTCTTGACAACGCTTTCTATCATTCGTGACAGCTCATCAAATAACCAAATAAAAATTCGAGGAAAGATGAAATACAAAATTTTCAATGGATAACAATTTGTATTATGAAGATTACTATACCAAACACCATTCAAAACTATTCAATATTGAAATTGATCATCTTGACGAAAGCTTAGGTTATTACTTAAAGTATATAAATATAAAAATATATGTTGAAGTTATTCTTCGGGTTTGTTCCGTGTGGTGTATTGTCATCCCCGATGGGAATGAATTTCGCAACGTTTCGATAAAATCACATTTGTCATCATCTGGCGATTATTGTTAAGTGTTCGGAAGTCATCTGACCCTACTCGGATGACTTCTTACTGTGCGGGTTCAATGATGTTTGTTACATAAATACCGTTCTTGATTTCCTGAATTTGGTACCAAAATCAAAATCAAAATCAAAATGTTCTTCATTGACTATTCTCCATACAAGGTATTTTTTATGGTATTTATAAAATATATACAATAAAAAAATATACACAAACAAGGGTTTCCCCTATGGAGTGGGACAGTGGGAAGGATTGGGATTGGTAATAAATGGGGTAGAGGGAGTGGCAGGAAAAGATCCCGATACATTTGCGCTCTCAAGAATTCCGCACGGATGAGAAAAGCGCCTCCACACAGTCCCCGATGGGGCCGTGGGAGACTCCCCCGCTGGTGTTGGCGGTTGGCTCTCCACTCAAAAACGCCTTATATCAGCCCCATCTATAGTTTTCCGCTTCCTGCCGAGGCTTACGCGGAAGTTGTCATTCTGTCGCGTTTCGGTACTTCTCAGAGAATAATTCGTCTGTTTGTTGGTAGCAGTTATCGATAACCCCCTGGAAAAAGTTCATTAAAAAACCAGGTAAGAGTATTTCTGCTATCACGTCATCATGTGTGCGTGAATACTCTTATCCAATTTTCCCATGGAATAAGCGCGATCGCATTCGCGCCGTTCACGGTATATCTCCAGTTCTTCATAGACTAGCCCTATTACCTGTATGTTTTGGTACCTCAGTTCTTCTTCTTCTCGATATGACCTCTTCTCCCCGTGAAGGTTTGAAATGTTAATCGAAGGTTTTCACGGACAGGAATATGTTGAAATTATGAATATGAAACACTCAAGAAATATGGAGGCAAACCGCGGACACGTGTTTCTGGCTATTGGCCTCATCAGCGCGGTGCAGCCAATTATAAAGGTGACAACAACTGGTTATGAAAAATGAAAAAACATCACGGTGTCACCAACAGGTGCTATCCGCACATTTGTGGTTTCAATCAGAAGACCCAGCATTCTCAGGCATCATTTTACATCACCACGTAGGCAGCTATAGCTGCCACGTAGGCAGCTATAGCTGCCTACGTGGTGATGTTAGACTTTAGCTAAAAGACAGCAGGAGCCTCGCAAGGAAGAGAAGCCGTAAAGGAATCAATCAATTTCGAATTATATAAAAACACTTCTCTCTACTCAGTTTGTATTCCAAGCTTTCCCTATGGAATTATTATTAACGTATTTTTTTTAAACTCCACTATGTTTCCCAGACCTCTCGCCAATCTACTATTATCTTGTCATACACTTTAATGATTTTCTCACCAGTAGAACCTTCGCCAATCAGAACCAGGTAAAATCGGTTTCATCCACTTCATCGAATCCCCAGCACACAATTTTTATGTCGACGGATTCAACCTTGAATTTTATTGGCAAAAGTATACTGATCCAAACGGCGCTTACTTTGATCTAATCAAATAAGTAATCAATGATTTATAACAGTTCGAAGTTGACTTATAAAAACGGATAGAACTTTCGAAACACCCTAATACAAAAAAAGAGTCTACCGATTGTTGGCCCGGTTTATTAAATATGTATTATTTCTGGATTTATTCCAATAACAAAATTTGTGAGTGGAAAAAATACACAAATTCCTTGAGAAATCAACCTCATCAGTTACATAAATCACCGAATCCGATTTTTTAATTTCTCATTAAAGAAAGAATGAGAGTTGGCAGACGAGGGAGATCGGAATGGGGCAGACGGAGAGAGGGGTTGAAATGAGTGGATAATTCATTCTGAGAAAAGGTGTTTTTTCAATTCTTTGATTTGGTAATTGAATTACGCATATTAATTGGGCTAAAATTTAGAAAAAGAACACTGTAATCTTCCCTCAGCTAATATGAGTCTCATGATAACTTGTAGGGATTGCTAGCAGACTAACAGTTGAATAGAAAAAGGAACTGGGTCGAAATGGTTCATCCCAAAATTGTTTTTCAGTTGTAGTTGAAAATTAGTATTGTACAAAAGAGTTTTTCATTACAAATATTTCAATGAAAATCTCTTATTGAAATTTTCAATAGAAATGCAGACACTCATCTTCCATTGTAATATAGTTCGAATTCAATTACTGTGACAATGGATCCCAATAAAAATTTTCAGTATCGCTATTCTGTCTCAGCAATATATTACATGATATTCCCGAAAGACCTTCAAGCAGGTGTACAAAAATAAAACTTGGGACGATATCAGAAATCAGGACGCCAACTTCCAATTTGTCGAATGTCCCATCATAAACTGTTAACGAGAAGTTTACCGAAGGAGTTTTTCAGATGGCTAACCAGCGTGAAGGATGCGACATGTTTATTTTAATTTTTCCCGGGCACTGTTTAAGTGACAAAAATAAATGTAAAATCAGTATCGAAAATATTATCGACAAACTTGCACCTATAAATATGGACAGTTTCTCGCTTGTGGGCAGAAATCGAAAAATAAATTCCACCTACCTATGACATATCCTAATCATACTAATTCACCACACCAAAGTTCGATACGAGGCGCATCAGCGTCGCGATGCCCGTTCGCGTTATTTCCGTCCGTAGCCGCAGCTATACTGGCATACGGCAAAAAGTCTTGACGCCGGTGTTACCTGTGTTAACCCGACGCGCGCAGCCTTTTCATAATTTTCAGGAAAGCTCGTGATAAGATTTTGAGACCTGATATCATTAGACATTCCGTACACTTCAATGCGAACCTTCCCAACCAGCAAAGTTGTTTTATAATTCCATAGTGTTGCAACAGTTTTATTTTATTGGTATTTTATAATTACTTCCAGAAAACGAAGTGTTCTGGCGATGCATTGAATTTATTGGAGCCTCTGGAGACACCCTACATTTTGTTTTATGAGAGAGAGGACATTTTTGGATCAAGATCTTCACACACTTAAACAGGGGTTACAAACAGATTAACAAATCCAATAGAGAACCCACTTTATAATTTTAGTTCGAGTGGGCTTTGAGAAAAAAGAATGTGAATTTAAATTTTTTGTAAATTACATTGGACAATCGAAGAATAACATAACTCTTATAAGAGTGAAAAAGTCGAAACAGTCTAAAGAGATTTCAAAATATTGACTATCATTGCAAATTTCGTTGAAGGTTTTAAGCATTCTATAAAGTGGTGAATTTTGAGCAGGATCTGTCCTTGTGCAAGTTACCTTAAAGAATTATGTACACTTCAACGTTCTCCCCTGAACATTGAACTCGATTTTGGAATAAAGCTCTGGGCAGTGGACTAATCCTTTCATCAACTTGAAAATCATGGTAAGATCCATAACAGTTCTTCTATCCTTCATAGGCATAATATTATAATCGCTAATACTGTAATCGCTATTCGTAATTGAAAAATTCAATTTGTGACTAATGTAGTGAAGAAATTTGTTTTGGATAATACTTATTTCTATATTTTCGTTTCTGGAGAATGAGATTGACACGCATTTTTGTGGATTGAGAAACAAATCATTATCATCACAGAATTTTTTGAGCTGCTTTAAGTCCTTCTGAATTTCTCCGCTGTCATATGAATTCTTTACTGTGTGACAGATTTTCAAGTCGTCGACATATAGTAAAAATTTACACTTAATAAAGCAACTACATATTTCGTTGATGTATATAATGAAGAATAAAGCACTCAAATGGCTGCCTTGAGGAACTCCGGAGGATACCGTGAAGGGGAGTGACGTAAATCCATTTATGGCAACATTTGTGACCTGTTATTCAAATAGGACCATATTCAGTTGATAGAAGATCCTGCAAAGATTGTGACTGAATTAAACAATTTTTTCATCGAGGTCCTCCAGGCACTGATAGGGAAAATTTGGAAGGTATTACGTCTAGACAATCCAACTGATTCCATAGATTTCTATCCACACACTTTATTCTTGAAACCATTCATTGAAAGCGAACTGTTCGATCTCGTCAGTCGTAAAATGAGGAACAAGAGGTCTTTGGAAATCGACGAGGTACCTGCCTTCTTGGTAAAAAAAATATTAAGTACTACCATTGAACCACAGTTGAATAACAGTTTTTATGTGAAAAAAATCAAATCTATGTTTTTGCAATAGTACTGGATCCTACCAGAATTACTAATAACAGTGAGACTCTAATCGATTATGTACTAACTAACAATAATTTTGCAAACTGTTTTGTCCATCCTACTCCTAATATAAGTGACCATTCATTGATATCTATTTGTCTTAAAAATAACAAACGAACTGAAAGCACTTCTATCAAAAATTATGGAAACCTTAGTGAAGGAAATTTGGATGAAATAAAACTAGATTTAATTTCATATGATTGGGATTTGAATTCAACAGATGTTAGTGTCATATATTTCAATTTACTTAATAACTGTCAATCAGTTATCGATAAAGTTGCACCAATTTAAGTCTGTCACTATAAAAGTAACACTCCATGGTTTGACAACGAAATTCATATCAAAATAAAACAACGTGATCAGATTTATTGAAACTATTGGGGTGAATAGAAATGTCGAATGAAAAGAATTTAAGAAACAGAGAAATAAAGTATTAAATTTATTAAAAAAGGAAAAAGAACAATACTTCTTCGATAGAGTAGATATGTAAAAAAATAACTCTCAACTGATGTGGAAAACATCGGAACATCAAAGAAAGGTTGGAGATTTGTGCCTCATCTACAGATACTTCCACGGAAAGTGTTCCAGTGACTTGGCACATTTGATTCCTCCAAAGGCGGTACTTATCAGAAATACGCGATGGACTGTAGCTGCTCAATATTTTGAGGTTCGACTCAGTAAACCTCGAACTTCACTGTTCAAGAACTCTTTTAATTGGAGAACCACGTTCATGCGGAATAAACTTTCTGAGAACGTTCTTCCAAATGGGTTTATTCTCCAGCGATTCAAATTCAATGTGACACTACTTCCATACAGGCACCGATCCAATAGCGCCTCAATGATTTTCCTGTAGTTCTTGTGTTTTGTCTTTGAAAAAATCAGTAAATTCTGCTTGAATAAATCAGTTATTTCCATTGAAAAAAAACTCTCTCACAGCGTATGATAAAAAAAGTCTCCCTCAGTGTAGATCCCCAACACATTTTAGGCATTTGGTGCTATATTCATTAGAATAATTGAGTGTCAATGACTTTTTGGGGTACAAGAATATACATATTGCTTCAATCCATGCCTGAGAACTATCGGGAACATTTTGATTTCATGACATATTATGTAGGTATATTAACAGTCAAAAAAGCTACCAAAAGTACAGGTCTGCATTTCATATTTCAATTATTTTGGATATCAGGTGTTTCATTCAAACGAAAATGAAGTGTGAGAGGAGAAATTTTTGAGACAATCTACCACATATATATCGAAGTGAATTATCTGGAAATTTCTTCAATTCATTCGATCATGAAACAATAAACTCTTAAGTTGAAGATGGTCTGAATTATATGATATAAATCTTTGTTAAACATAATCTGATGGAAAAATATGATAATATTTAAAAAATTCCGTAACAAGGAGTTAATAAAGCCAAGTACAGAATACAGATCATTTTAGTAATTTTTCGTGTATCTCCGGATCCAAAAGACTTACTTTTTTCGAGACCTCCTTACCAGAGACTCCAATATGGATAGGTCTATATGATAATTGCGAGACTTTTTTAACAAAAAGATATATTTTTGCTCATTCATTTTGTTTCCAGAATTCTGGAGATGAACAATTTTTCATACAAATATGTATTCCGTAATATTACTTTCTCTCATGACAGCAAAGAAAGAAAACGTGACTCGATTTTTTCATGTCTTATAAAACTGTTCCTGCTTTTCTCTTCCTGAATCTGTCCCGTGTTTTGATATGTGTCAGACCTTTTTCAGCCGTTCACCACCGAAAGTGCAAATGAAAATAAATAGCTTCTTTGCTTTTAGGTTTGGCATCCTGATGATGTTTATTGATATACATGAAGTCATGAACATTTAATAATTTCCACAGTTTCTCATTACAAAAGACGGTGATAATGATTGACTGATGATTATGCAGTGGGTGGAACTTTCGTTATAAACTGAGATTAGTGCATTTAGTTTTCAAAATTATTCACTAATAAATAGAGTACCAAATAGTAGTATACAGTGCCCTTGTATATTACTGTGGGTAATTGGATATTTTGAAAATATATACAGATATGTGAGAAAATCCGGAGAGCCCAGAATATTAACTAGGTATTTGGCAATCAAACTCAGTTTGATCTTCCTCTTGAAGATGATCACTTGGTGATCGAAACATGTGTCGAGTTGTTCAAATGACGGTTTGATATTAGGAAAAAATTCCAGTAGTATTTACCCAATACATATAAAACGAATTGTCACAAGACCCGCCTTTATGACAGAAAAAAAGTTGGTAGCGCTCTATCGGTGACGAATAATGCAATACTATTGTATTTCTCATCAGAAAGTACTGGAAATGATATCTTTTTAAATATATTTCATCCGATATGTCATCATGATATGTTATTCCGTTCAAAAGTCAAGAGGTGGGAAATTTATTTACTTCCGCACTGCATATTCTTTGTGAGCAATGAAAATGACAAAGAAAACACCAGAAGTTGATTTCCATGAGTTCCAACCTGTCATTTCAAACATGATTCTCATGGGACAATTCAGGTCCTGGGATTTTTCTGTTATAATAGCAGTCATAATGATAATACCTGAATTTGTTGAATAACCAACTAGTGGACTTCAATATATTCAATGATAGAAGGTAAATTCTGAACTGTCATAAATAAATTCGTCTAAGTGTTGAAAGTTGAAAAACAAGTTTCATTCGGTATCATTTATCAAACATAGAAGTCATAAATTGAATAATTATTTGAATTGGAGGGGTAATATTCTTAGGAGTGATTGATTTTTGAATTAATACCTTGCGATGTTGAGGAGACTTGTAATATATTTGAACTATCTGAGTTGACAATTTCATGGGCATTAACAATTAATTCTTGAAGTGAAGATGACGATGCTGTAACGCTGGAGCTGGAGCTGTTGGGATTATTCTTCCAATATCATTTTCGTAAGAAATATATTTACCGATGTAACCTTCAGCTACTGTTGGAGACTTTCACCCTCTTTTCTACTTAATATCCGTTATATTTGCTCGTGATTCTGCTAGCAAAGGAGCAGAAGATCTTCTGAAACACTGATCTGTATATTCCTTTGGTTCCGAGAGGTTCAGAAACTCAGCAATGATAGAGGGCATTTTCCCAAACGTGTTTATACCAACTAATTCGGCACTGCATTTATAATTTGAGTTTTCACAAAAAAACGTTAATGATTGATAACAGAAGGGCGTAATGCAACATATTTATTAAAATATGTTGCATTACGTATGTTTATTAAAAATGTCTTTTCCAACAATGCAAAAAGAACGACCTATTTTCGTTTTTTATTTGGAATTTGACAATCAATTATTTATCCATTGATTTAATGTCTCTTCACATCTCTTTACGCCAGAAGGCTCCATATATTCCGAAAATAGTAGCAACTTTTGGGCCTATCACTTACATTTTTCC